TCAAACAAAGCACTCACAAACAAGCAGTAAAATATAAAATTAATGACATGGCGCAGTGATTACGGTCAGCAAACAAATGATGTCAGTAACATGAGCTTGTGACAAATAACGTGTATAATGCGATAAGGAAGTTTGTAAAACACAATTATAGTGTCGATTATTTATTACAAGGGTTCTTTAAGTAAGACGAATAAGAGAAAATGTTTTTGTCGTTTATGTACTCGTATAACTGTGTGTTTTATAATACCAAGATCTCTGTAAAAAAAACATCGTCATCCCTGTCATTACTTTTGACATCACAGAGATAACGATATGTTTTTAATGGATATTTTGGACTTATTAACCCACGGTTACACATGTATTAAAGTGTCATAGTATTCCGTTTCATTATAATCTCGTAGAACTTTAATGACTTACTTATTTTGAATATCGAGTCTCATTCTATCGGCGCTGCTATCGTGATTAGTTTTGTCAGAAAAAATGAAACCCTACATGGGCGTAGAAAATGGCTAATAAGAAAAAACATGACATGACAGCTACAATACGAAAAGCTATTATAATTTATTTTGACCGGGTCAGATATCCTTGTCGGTATGTAGTAAAATCAGGACTATGTAAAAATCACACATAGAATGTACGTATGCGTATAGTTATCTTGGATAAATACTTAATATTCGTTATAACGTTTAAACGTCATCTTTACCTCAGTAATTCACACAACTACGTCAAATAGACAATTTTCCTCACAGTGCATAAAATGGATTTCCCAGGATTTGAACCTGAAGATATCATTGAAACAGACAAATTGTTATTTTAAGTTTTATTTATTTTGAGTTGTTTGTTTTGTATAATTGTGATAAAAAGTGGAAAATGACTAAAGTTTGAGTAAGCAAACGATCTATTTTAGGTGCAGGTCTACACCAAAATCGATTATCAAATTTATTTCCACTCAGTTGAGAAACATAGGTAACTTTGAATTACATAAACGTTTATTTACACAAGATACGCTGCCGGACAAACGATCCGTTTTAAACATTATCGGAAAGTCGATAAACAGCAATCGCCGTAGAACGGAATGTATGTGTACGCACAAAGCAACTTGCAGCAAATTCCTGGAATGTTTATCCGCGTGATTAAACTGGCACGCTGTTGTAATCAAATGCAAATACTATAATTGAACAACACAATTGTTGTTTATTATTTCATTTAAGCGTAGAGAGACCTATAGAAAGTTATAGCACAATAAAATACAAGGGGATTGTATGTTTGTTTGAAAGGTTAAGCGTAAAAAGGTTACGTAATATATATTTTTTTCTGTATAATATTAATTAAAGTCTACACATTTAAATCGTATTTAATTACTTCAAATGCATTCTTAATAATTTCATACAAACAAAAAAGGGAATAAATTGTCTATATGTTTAAGTTACTATTTCTTACCGATATAAATATTATACTAAAGATGTCTTGAAGCTTTATATTTAAATTTTTTGTCAAGGCAAGGAAAAAATAGCAAATGTCTAACTGGTGTAATAAAAAAAAGTACTCTTAACAATTTATAGGAAATAGCTGCTCTTATTAACAGCTGTTTTGAACATAATTTATTAAATATCATTGAAAGAAATTTCTTATGTTATTATCGTAACATATTACATATATCCAAAAAAACACATTCAAAATGTAACTTTAGTGTATATTTACTTAATGCAATCAAATTATTTTTAAAATTAAAACATCTATTACAAGATTATTTTACGTATACATTTACTTTTGTACGTAATTTTATTTGATGAAGTATCTTCGCCATAAAAGCGGTTGACCTTGAACTACAGCAACTTTCCAGGTTTGACGCAACTCTCAGGCCTTGAACGAAATTCACAACACAATAAACACCTGTTTATATGGCAAACAGAACAATAAACTGCTTTATAAATATCACGTTGATGGCTTGTGTAAAGAACGAAGGTAATCGCTCGATTGTATTGTAAATGCAAGCTCGATATCATTATCTTTATTACTAAGTATTCTTACATTCAAATAATAAACTCGTATTATTACCGTATTTCCTTTTTATAATCCGTATTTCTGTATATTAAAACTAGTGAGCGACGGGCCGCGTCCGCGAAATAATACCAGTCCCACTCAAACTGATTAAGGGCCCCCGATGGGGTTGAAATTAGTCGGTGCCGCCACCGGACGAATAGACGTGAGTGTTTATCCGTTTTCATATCAGTTTAAAACTTGTTTTATTAATACAGTAATTCTGTACATTTTTCAAATACTACATTTGGTCTTATCGTAACAACTATAGTTGTGTTTTGTTTGTGTGGAATGCAAATGTTTTAATAAGTTTTCTAACGCATGTAATATAATGCTTTTGTAGACTGACCATACACTACCGTGCCATAAACGTAAATCTAATATTATAAAAAGGAAAGATTTGTTTTTTTAATGTTGTCGATGTCAACAAAAAAATGCCATCAGAAAGCTACATTATCATTAAAGAAATATGGCTATATTTTTAATAGAATTGTTATTTCCGCGCGGACGAAGTTGCGGGCGAAAGGTATAATAGTTGTTTATAAAATGATAATAAAACAATACCGTACCTAATTAACGTATTTCCCGTTGCAAGTCATGCAGTTAACTTGGGTTTACAGTAATTCTTGTAATAATACATACCTATTCCTACGAACTAATTCTTTGGTTAACCACGTTCTACAAGTAATTTATTGGAAACACAAATGAAACAGAGCACAAATAAATGACAAAATTAAAATTCACTTATATTTAACTTTTTTGTGATCTTAACAGGAACGGAAAGTCTCTTTAGATTATTTACAGCTTTAGAGAGTTGCTAGCAGAGTCGAATTTATTTCGTAGAGGATATAATGTAATTCTTAACTAGTTAAACATAAATTATATTTTCACTAACATACGTTAAAGATTTAAATGTATAGACGAAAGTCCAGAATCAATCATTGCAATATTTTTCCATTGCATTTAATGAACGAAATCAATAAGACTTCCTGTTTATTGGTTACATTCTACTTTAAAATACGATTACTTGAAACATAAAAGTTTTATTTCAGTCCGATTTTAAAGGCGAAAGGGTATATCAATAAAGGAAAATAAAATTTTAAGCCTAAATCCTTTTCGAAGAAGTATTTGGAAAAGTATCAAAATGGTAAAACTATGACTTGTAAATACTGACGTGACTCATTTTATAGTCTGATTGGAAAATAAAGCAGAGTACTCCATAAATTCATCGAATAATTTATACCGAATAATTGATGAAGATGAGTAAATATAATTTGATTCAGCATTCTACGAAATGACTGATAACATATAAATTGCGGTTTGACATTATAAATATTCAACGAGTATTAAATGTATTTATATTGCCGGTTGAGTGACTCAAGGTCTCAATCTGCACGGAATAACAAGTGAGTCGGTCATTTGCGCAACGCCATTAAACACTAGACAAAACTTTCTTGATGCCAATTGTGTTGTTTAAAATCATTTTCTGTCCAAACCGGTTTCTTAAACATTTATCGCAAGAAATCTTACTTATATAATGTTATAAATGCGAATGTTTGGATGGATGGACGATTTATTACAAGGTATCTCCAGAACGGCTGCATGGATCTTGCTGAAATTTGGCATGGATGAAGAACATATTCTGGAAGAACACTTAGGCTACTAATATAATGCTTCTTTCATTCTACGCGAGCGGAGTCGCAGGCGACAGCTAGTTAGTATAACAATATAAATGAATAGAGATGTTACGGCTACATTGTTCAACAAACGTTAAATGAATAATATTTAATTGCAATGAATGTAATTGAATAAAAGTCCTTGACTTTACGTTTAACAATCAATCGAATACAAAGAGCTTTATATTGCTTGTATACACGTACATGACCAGTGAATGTAATAATTTTTAATTCAATGTTCAATTAATGTCAGTAAGACAAACTAAGTTTAGAATTGTATTTGTTGAGAAGACATTTTGACTCGTAATATAGTAAATGTTAAAATAAACAATAAACAAAATAAACTACTTTCACACAAAAACATTTTACAATAACTCTCATACGTTTTTAAAGAACACGGTTGTAACAACATTTTTAATATAGGTATTTAGACAGTGGAAATTTACGGTAATAAACTTAATTATATTTGGTTAAGCCGTAGAGAATTAAAAGATTAAACATAGAGGATAATGCTACTCTAGGTAGAAGAATGTCATATTGATATCCTGCATCCTAGGCTAAACATCTATAAGTGGAATTATTTATAAAAAATACCATTGCAAGAATATAGATTTTTTTAAATAATAAAGCCTAAGAAAATTAATATCAAAAGCTTTTGAAATTTTCCATGGAAAAAGTTATCTTTTAATTTTAATCGAAGATGGGAGTTTCCATGTTGCTTTGAATTGAATATTAATGAAGTAAATCAGCTTGTAAAGGAAAAATATGGATATATAAATAGCTTTAATTTTTTCCTTGTACATAGGTCGAGATTATATTTTTATATATGATCATTGGGCCAGCGTGGTTGACCATAGCCTAGTCACACCTAAATTGGATAGGCTCAGAGCTCCTCAGTGGGGACATATGAGCTGACGACGTCGATTATTACGATTAAGTAAATAGGAATTTTGTTAGATAAGACTGGACAACTGTCCTGAAATCTGAGATGTTTAACAATTAGCCAATATCAAGAAAATATGGAATAGGTTAAAAGGAATGTTAATAATAGAGGTAGGTACTGACCGTAGCAGTCTTTCATGTCTCTCCCTGTCGTAGGAGGCAGCGCTGGCGGCGGCGGAGGCGGTGGCGGCGGCGAGGTAATCGTCAGCCACGGACACGGAGACAGCGTGGTGCAGCGGTGCGTGCAGTGGCGGCTGGTAGCGCGGCTTCCACAGCAGCTCGCCGTAGAGCGCGGCAGGCGGCGGCGCTAGCTGCAGCAGCGGCGGGGGCGGCCCGCCGCCATACCCGTGCGCCATAGCGCGCCACTCGCGCTCTTCCACCGAGCTCGCCGAGCCCGCCGACCCGCCCGACCGCACGCCGCTCACGCCCGAGTCTGAGCGCTCGTCCGCATCGCGCGACCGCGAGCACACTATCACACAGTCGTCCTCCTCGGAGGCCACGGCGCTGGCGACGCTCGCAACACCATCCGCGCCCGCTGGCCCACTTGCACCACTCACTTCACCCTCACTCTTTGCACACGATTCCCCTTCGGGTTTCACGCACTTGTCACTGCTCCGCTCGGCGATGGTAACATCGCTTGCGCTATCTGCACCTGCAACAACAAAAAGCACTGGTTAGTATCTCAATACCGACCTCGGTCGACGTGGGAATTCCTAGAGCCGTCTGGAGAGACGCCAATGTGAAGCTCATTCACACTACACCCACGACCCACAAATATGCGACGCGATTTATGTATATACGGACGGAGTCTGTTTCTATAAATCAACTGGCAATTTTAAATCTCGGACACAACCGATATTATGATGCACCTGCATAACGTTTCATTTGGGTTAGAACGACGGCTCTTTATAGGTCGCTTACGTTACGACTATGAGCATCCAGAGCTGCTAGAAACCGATTATTCGTTAAATATTTACGGCGCCGCTCGATTACAAAATAATCGAAATATCTCAGCATATAATATTGTCTAAAACGGGGTGCACGTTCGTAAGCGAACCTTGAAGACGTCAATAATTATTGCATCAGAGACTTTCACAGTCGCACGCGCCGCTGAGACTAATAAATCGGGCCTCGGCTTCGCGCCGCGTGACGAGAATAAGTTATCGGCGTCACGTTTCGTTGCGTCGAGTTTATTACCAGTGTCGCGAACCGGAACAGGAAGATACGACCGCGCGGAAAGCGGCCCACAGCCAATTCTTCTTCGCTCGGATACTTGGCGTAAAACCAGAACGATGGCATTGTGACAACCCGAGGACGTCCTGGCTTGCTTCGAAATACATACATTATTTTGGCGTTGCTATTGAAGGTCAAAAGCTCGTCTCTTAGACGCATTCCGTCTGGAAAATTCCAGTTAAAGTTCAAAAAATTACGATCGGCATTGCAACATCATAATTTCAACTAATTCATCAGTATAATTATATTGACTAAACTTATATTATTCAGAACGCAGTTAACGACCAAAGAAATAACAAATCCGAAATTCGAAACGAAGTCTCGAAGAAAGAGCAATGTTGCGCCACGAGCAAACAACAATGGAATCTTAATGAGGTGCTGTTAACTACGATCTTCATTTACATAATCGCATTAATAATAATTATTCATAACGAATACAAACAAGAATATATAATTTATGCTTATGTATACCGGTAGTCATTGGCCTAGGATAATTTGTTCCGATAGGGTAAGAGTCTGACGGCCATCTTTAACAAGGCTATTACTCACGAGTAAAACCGGTTGTAATGGATCTGCCACGCGATATTAATATGCGGAATAAGAATGTATTCTTGGCAGTGAATGAACTAATAAATTTAATTTAAGTAAGTCTCATTAATTTAATTCATCCGTATCTAATAACGTAACCAAATAGCATGCAGCAGACAACATTTAAACACAACCGATAACCGGTTTCGAATTAATGAAAAAGCGAACATAATTGAAACCTTGAAATAACTAACTAACGAATAACACCGGTATAATCTAATCGCATGCAAAACGAATGAGCTGACGTAATACAACATTGTATTTTTGGCATTATCACAATCGTAGGGAACGAATAAAGACAGATCGTGTGTCTGAAAACATGAATATTCAATAACTAGAAATCGAACAATCGTTTTTATGTTAAAAAGAAAACACAATGTAAAGAAAACATAATAACGAACGGTTCCTTTTATAAACAAATGAGTATTGAACGAATGTAAACAAAAGGTGGTGAGACAATGCGACAGTGATCAAGGGGCCGGCACAATGGGGCAACAAATAACTCGGCGGGGAAGCGGCCGCGCCCCGCTGACTGACAACACAAACGCCCGCGCCGATGCACAAAGGCCAAGAAGTTCCCATTAGATAGAAAAAAAGTGCAAAAAGTTGACGGATAGAACATTCGACACCTCATGAAAACCAAGACTGGTTAATCCCATTTTGGTTCACTTTCTAAGTTAAGGATGTTTTTTTACTACTTCGTTGCAGAAACAATCAATCGGAGTTGAGAAAAAAATTACGTTATTTCCTAACAATAAATCTTTGTTGGATTTTCAACATTTCAATTTCATTTTGAACAACACAAATACTATTTCTTCTTAACCTGCACAATTCAGATTTTCTAACACTTTTTCTATTATTGTTTTTATTCATATCTACATGAAGCTTTTGAAGTCGTCTTTTTTCTCAGGTATGATTTGCATCTTTAAAACCGCACAATATAAGAATAGGAAAGGCCACATATGTTTTCAATTGTAGTCTATCAGTAACGTTCAATAACAAGTAATTGACCAATATCACGATCACAAAGAACCTTTGGACAGTATTCCACACCGGGAATAAATTAACCAAGACAAGAATCTGTTTACTGAGTTTATCCTTCTAAGTAGGTATAATAAGAATCCAAAAAATGGATAGAGGACAACGTTATATTATGTAGAGTATATATAAAAAAAAATCGAGAGAAGCGAGTACCCTGTTAATGAGTGAATTTATACTATATACGTGGCAAAATTAAAACGCAAAAAAGATAATTTAAAATTAAAAATAAGTAAAAGAATCATTAAATCGCAAGACACAAGCCATCCTTATGGTCAATGCTCGTAGTAATAGGTCAGGCTAGGCTAGAACATCGGTGGGATTAAAGCATGTTAGAGGAATCGAGTGAAGCCATCTCGTTAGGGCCACTAGAGCGCGTCGACTCGCGGACCGTGTAATGAAGCACTTCCACTTGGACGATAACCGTTAGTTAATAGGACATTAAGCGCTAACAAAGCTTTCTCTGTGGACCCAACAGTAATTAACGTTACGTAACTGTAACTGGTCATATGACGTTAAATGTAATGCTATAATTTTAATGAAATTTAGTAATCAATGTGTACTACAAACTTACATCTTAAGTTTCTACTAAACTCCTGTAACAAGTTAGGATAGCACTTAATGTTTCTGCGCGTTTGCAACTCAAAGTGCCCTAGAGTTTTGCAATATCAATTTTATTTGTATACGAAACGATTTGAAAAGTTATCATTTATCTGACACCTATATAATAAAGTAATAGGAATTGATAAATGATTACTCGTCTTTTGAGATTATTTAAACAAGACCATTGTAGATAAGTGGCGCATGGTAAATCGTGAGCATTGTTTGCTGAACCGGCTCACAGTTATTATGGTGCATCGAGTTGCATCACGAATTCACGACGGTCATGCCGCGTGCAAATTGCGCAATGCATGCAATCCCACCCAACTATTGATTGAACAAACGGCCTAAACTTATCCCAAACTATTCCCAACGTCTCCCAAACTATGCTTTCCAAACTCCCAAATTTTCTGAATTATGTTGTTTACCCTAATAATATACGTAGCTGCAGTTATTGCTATTATGCCATAAAACGGACGTCGTGGTGCTTTTCATACCAATTATTGTAAACGTGGGCACAAGTCGTAATGAATTTCAATCCGCCACCGCCATTGTTTAAATACAAGATGGCGCTGCAGTTGTTCACAAAGGTGCTTTCGTGTCCTGACTACGGAACTAATTTGAATTGAACAATGAAGATAGTGTAGGTATGTATACCTAAAAGAAACACAAAAATGTATATGTGATACACCTACATTATTCCTGTAAAAGGTAATAACAATCAATTGCTTCCCTGTGCCCTAACTAATTGAAATTCAAAATGCGGTTTTATTAGAAATAAACGTTTGGTTCACCTTATAAAATGCTATTTATTAGAACAAAATATCTATAGGCTCACATTTTTATGCGGATAATGACAAAGTATATTCTATTAAAAAGACAATGACTAATCGAAAAATTGCTCACGGGTCATTTGCGGACAATTAATAAATGTTTGTCGAGATAAGCAGACGAGAAGATAGGTATACGTTAACAGAGCAGTCTCCAAATGCATATCGCATACCGAGATAACGGCCGATTAAAAGGTCACTCGGGTACACATCGTCAACGCCGTAACTACTGGTTATTATTTGTATGGAAAATACTTGCACTAGTATAATCTTTCACAATCACTTTCATTTAGTTTTAAAATATACGTCATTAGTTTGAAACATAGCACTATTAAATGGTAATTAAAATAAATAAAACATTTCATTAAATACTCACTTTAAAATAATTTCGCGGTGTAAGCGTTACAAACTATAATATATTCAAACACAGTTACGATCACAACAATTTTTTACACAACAATTTTTGTCAATGGTCACTATCACATAAATCCAGGTTAAATGCGGATAATCCTCTTCGTAAAAACCGTTGAAAATCAGAAAGGCAATCCTGAAGAACTGCGCCCTTGAAAGCGGTCAGGAAATTGAGGCAGTCATGCGTTCACCTGCGCACACACACACTCACACCACGCCAGATGTCTATATATGTGTAATGTAAGTATCACGACTATGCTAAAATGATTCGATGTAAACGTGCAGCAGACACACGTGTTAAAGCCTCGACGGCGCACAAAGAACTGAATCGCGGGGAAGTGTACGGAACAGAGGGGGGCGGAGCCGAGGAGGCGCTAAAGGGGGCAGAGGGGGGTCAGCCGTGCCAGTCTCGCTTCAACAACATAGCAGGCAACGTAGCAACAAGTGAACGGCGCGGACGCGCGTCCGGGGGACGGGGTTGCAAGTTTTAAATGGGGGACAGGGGAGCCCTCCCCCCAGCACGAACGCACCTGACTGCGATGCATAGCGCTCAACGACTCCACTATCCACTATGAAAAACAGGAAGGGCAGATGTCAATAATCACGCAGCCGAGCCAGACATTAATAACCCTCCATTTAAAAATGGTCGTATCGGATGATATAAAATTCTGTTTGTTACTATAGCTGTCCTTAATGAAATACTTGACAACTTTTAATTCCTAATACAAATTCAAGGAACGATAATACTGATAAAAATAATTCAAGTTATCTACATTTTATAATTGTGTTAAATAAACAGCTATCCGTTAGTAAACGTGATGTGTAACATTTCATTAACAGTAGGCGATAAAATCCTCACCGATAAATCGTTCTTTTCGGGGAAATATGTATTAGTCAAACATAAAACACAGCATATTTAAAATACGTAGTCGATAAAATTAGGTAGGAATTT